CTTGAGCGGTGTCCACGCCGCCGAAGCCCTCGGAGCCAGCTGGCTGACCCGTGTCAGACTGATTTCAGTGTGGACGCAAGGGGGCTTGGGTCACGCCTGCGCAGAGCCAGCTGGCTGACCCGTGTCAGACTGATTTGTGTGTGGATGCAAGGGGGCTTGGGTCACGCCTGCGTCAGTGTCCAGGCTTCGTGATGGGGTTGACACACCCTGCACATCTAGGTGAGTGTCTGCGGAGCTCCTGCAATGCCCAGCTCCTCGGGGCACCGAAAAAAGCTGCCGTCTTGCAAACACCTCCCACGCGGAGTGGTCACTGACAACACAATCCGTGGATCCCAAAGGGGGCTCCATGTTACCTGCTGCACGGCCCTTCCCGGCCTCCGCCGGGCCCAGGGGAGCGGCAGTTTCGGCAGCATGGTTAAGAGATGCCCAGCGCCCCATCTGAAGGTGGTTCCCACCCGCCAGGACACAAGCGACCCCTTTGCTACTCACCTCCCAGAGCCAAAAGCAGGAGGCTATGGAGCAGCGGCCCCGTTCCTGGCCCCATGCCTTGGACTTCTGCTTTCAGAGACGAGTGGGTGGGGAGGGGAGCAGTCTTCCTGGGCGGCACACAGGAAGCTGGACTTGGCCACAGAGTGCCTGTCTCAGTCAGATGTCAGCTTGCCTTTCCTGGACGGGTGTCTGTCGGTGGGAAGCTGTGGTCGAAGGCATCTGGCTCTGGGGGGTGGCGAAGGGAGCTGTTATTGCTAGGGGGATGATTGCACCAGCAGCCCAAGGAAAGGCGAGCACTGAATGGTGTCTCGTGCTGAAGGAGACAGTGGGATCTAGTGGTTGGAGCAGGGGGAGGCGGCTGGGGTGCAGGATTCCTGGGTTCTATTCCTGGTGCTAGAAAGGAGAGTTGCCCAGTGAGAAATGCAGAGGGACTCGGTGTCCTTTCTTCTGGCGCCTGGCTCAGCTGTGGGAGGGAAGATGGTCTAATGGAAAAAGTGACAGACCAAGGCACAAGGCAGCTGGGTTCTGGGCCTGGCTCTGCCCATGAATAGCTGCCCGGCCTTTGGCAAGTCTCTTCACTGTCTCCCTGTGCCTCGGTTTCCCTGGCTCTGAGCTGCCAGGCCCAGAGATGCCGGGCTCTGCTCTGGCACACATTAGGTACTGGGACCACCTCTCCACGGCAAACTAGTGCAGTGAGGTCCCTGCTGTTCCCCTGGATCGCCAGTAACCAATCCAACTGGGTCATTCCCAGGGGTCTATCATTTACCGGCGGCATTAGCCCTCTGTTTGCCTGGGGCAGCTCGCTCCCGTAGCCAAACCGACTGTGGGGCTGATTCCAGAGGGCTTGATGGGGGTGAGCGGCGTATGACTTCCTCTGGGAGGAAGGCTGCTGTGTGTGTGTGTGTGTGTGTGTGTGTGAGTGGCCCCCACCCATAGGGCACAGAGCATGTGAAATCAGGAGATTGCATCAAGCGGGATGCAGCAACCCCTGGGTATGGGGGGGAGGGCTGGTAGTTTTCTGCTCTCTCCGAGTGCGCTGGAGGGGCTGGCGCATCAGGTCTGGTTCCCTGGCTCCATCCGTGCAAATTTCCCCACCGAGAACCCACTCAGCTTGGCAGGTGGGGGAAGGGAGCAGGAAGAGGGGAAACCCAGCTCGTGCGGAGTGTGCAAGCGGCTCGCTCTGGGGACCCCGGCGGGGAGAGCGCACGCCCACAGCTCCTGGTGGTGCCGGCATGGGAGGGGGGTTACGAGGCGAGAAAAGGGGGGACATGGAAGCGGGTATCTGCTGTTCTGACCATGCGGGCAAAGCAAGCGCCCTTTTGTGAAATGGCCCCCTGCCCGGCCCCACCCTGCGGGGCTGGGGCTGGGCTTAGCCCCCCTCTGTCTGGGGGGCGCTTGGGGCCACACACTAAGCTGCGCTGCCCACAGGAAGCCATTTCCAGGCAGGCCCCTCACGGTTCCGTGCTCAGGCCTCCACCGGCTCTCGCCTGAGGCGGGTTTAGCTCGGGGCTTGGTGTCACGAGGCCACCGGCCGGTGGTGATCCAAGATGGGAGCACCCTGGGGAGAAGTATCCAGGAGAGAATTAACAACCCCTCCAGGGTCTCCGCCTCAAACAGCCCCGCCACCCCATGAGCCGGAAAAGCGCCACCTTGTGACAGGCTGGCTGCAGGGTGCAGAGAGAGGGCAGCCCCATCTTGCAGAGCCCAGTGGTGCTGGGGCAGGGGGAACGCATCAGAAGGCAGAGATTTCCCCAGCCTAACCTGTTGGCATCGCTGGTTCATGCTCGATCAGCTGTAGTCAGCAGGTTCCCGGCAAGACATCCTGGAGCGGAGCTATGCCCGTAAAGTGCGCCTAAGCGGAGCTGCTCCTCAGAGCCAATCAAACCACTCGTCCATCTGTCTATCCCAGGACTTTGTCTCTGCCATTGCTCTCTGCCGGATGGCATCAGAACAGGTCAGCTGTGTGTCATTGGCCCTATACAGTTCATCTGTAGTGGAGAGTCTCGGGTAGTTCAAGAGGCAGAGGCCTGGGTTATTAGCAAAGCTGGTAGGCCCAGATCTGCAAAACTCTTTAGGCTCCCAGCTCCCACTGGAATCCATCGCAGCCCATTTTTAGCGTTAAATTGGAAATTGCAAAGTGGCCTCCGAGTGCAGGGAATGTGATTGGTCACAGGTGGCTCTGGATTGGTCACAGCACAACGAGTGACTCACACGCTCCTGGACAGTTTGATAAGCCCTCACGGCAGAGGGACTGGGGAGGAACAAGGCTGAATTTGTTCTGGTTGGAATGGCGAAGGGGGAGGCCCTGTTCACCCCCGACCCGCTGTTTATCCTGGTAACCGGCTTCCTTCCTCATTCCTGAGGCTGGTGATCGGCCAGTGCTAGGATTGCCAGAGGGCTGAAACAAAAATACCGAACACCCTCCCCCGCCAAAAAAAACCAAACCACCAGGAAAAAATTTTGTTGAAGGAAAAAAAGGGGGGACGGACCATCAAAGTTGTTGAGTCAAAAAAAAAAAAAAAAAAGACTGCACGAACCTGGATCACTGCTAGGGGTTACCAGGTAGTCATTTAAAAAAAAAACAACAACCCACAGTAACACTTAATGGGGCAGGGGGGAGAAAGACCGGCCAGGAAGGGTGCGGTGCTGGCCGGGAAGGAGGGGGCCTGGAAACAGCTAG